ACATTTACAGTAAGTACAATCTTTTATGTGGGATTCTCTAAAAGAGAATCAAAACTCCAGCAAAATCTAACCATGTATTCCTTCAGTCAAAAATTTGAAAAAGTCGTTTTTAGGAAGAAAAAGATATAATTAGAAAAGACTAGTCCGGGCATGGTGGCTCACACCTGTAATCCCAGCACTTTTGGAGGCTGAGGCGGGTGGATCATGAGGTCAAGAGATCAAGACCATCCTGGCCAACATGGTGAAACCCTGTCTCTACTAAAAATACAAAAATTAGCTGGGCATGGTGGCGCATGCCTGTAGTCCCAGCTACTCGGGAGGCTGAGGCAGGAGAATAGCTTGAACTCCGGAGGCGGAAGTTGCAGTGAACCATAGATCATGCCACTACACTCCAGCCTGGCAATAGAGTGAGACTCTGTCTAAAAAAACAAAAACAAAAAAGAAAAGACTGAAGTGGGTATGCAAACTATTAACATTATGTTAGGGCAGTAGTGGTAGGAGTGTAAATTATATTTGCTTTTTCTGAATTTCTAAATTTTCTTCAATTAACGTATTGTTTAAAATATCAAATATATAGAAAGAAGAGTGTGCATGCCCATTGATCAAGCAGACACTCTTCATTCAAAGGAACTCTTCCTAAAGAAGTACTGAAGTTCTATTTTATCCTTAGATATCCAAAGAGAGTATGTGTGTACCATATACCTAAAGAATGCTTATCATAATGAGAAAGTTGAAACACCCCAAATTAGCTTAATAATGGTATCTCTTTATCAGGGAATATTTTAAAGCCATTAGAAATGATATTGCAGATAAGTATTTAATGTTATGGAAACATTTTATGACATAAAATGAAAAGTAAGTTGCAGATTGGTTTGTATAATTTGATCTCATCTTTTTATAAGAAACACATAATATAGAAAGATAGATGAAGGTCTGAAAGGGTATTAATGCCCTAATGTGTTAGTAGCATTGCCTCAGAGAAACAGGCTCAACAGTGTTTATTTTCCTTTTCTCTCAGTAAATCTGTGTTTGTGTTCATGTGTCTGTCTACAGGATATGTATATACATTTTTCTTGTGAAGAATCCTCATTGCATTTGCTACTGGAAGGGTTTATTTTAGATTTAGATATTAAAGTTACCTCTTTGAGTGAGAACCCATAATTTATATTTCTTAGTTTACCTTTTACCTCTATTATTTAAATCCCTCTTCTTCTGCCTTCAAATAGAAGATGTAACAGTGAGCCGGGCGCTGTGGCTTACGCCTGTAATCCCAGCACTTTGTGAGGCCAAGGTGGATGTGTCAAGAGGGCAAGAGATTGAGACCATCCTGGCTAACATGGTGAAACCCCATCTCTACCAAAATTACAAAAATTAGCTGAGTGTGGTGGTGCACGCCTGTAGTCACAGCTACTCAGAAGGCTGAGGCAGGAGAATCGCTTGAACCTAAGAGGTGGAGGTTGCAGTGAGCTAAGATTGTGTCACTGCACTCCAGCCTGGCAACAGGCTCAAACTTAAAAAAAAAAAAAAAAAACTTAACAGTGATGAAAAGGCTGGATATGGTGGCTCACACCTGAAATTCCAGCACTTTAGGCGGCCAGGGGTTCGAGACCATCCTGAACATAGCAAGTAACATGGTGAGACCCTGTACCTACAAAAAATGTTTAAAGGTTAGCCAGGCATGATGGTGTAATCCCTTCTACTCAGGAAGCTGAGGTGGGACGACTGCTTGAGGCTGGGAGGTCAGGGCTGCAGTGAGCCGCGATTACACTACTGCACTTCAGCCTGGGTGACAGAATGAGACTCTGTCTCTAAAAAAATAATATTTTAAGAAAGAAAAAAAAAAACTAGTGATAAAAAGAACTTAAACTGATTTTTGAGTGGACTTCATAATTATAATGGCTGAGATTTTTTTTTTTTTTTTTTTTGAGACGGAGTTTCACTCATGTTACGCAGGCTGGAGTGCAATGGCGCGATCTCGGCTCACCGCAACCTCCGCCTCCTGGGTTCAGGCAATTCTCCTGTCTCAGCCTCCTGAGTAGCTGGGATTACAGGCACGCGCCACCATGCCCAGCTAATGTTTTGTATTTTTAGTAGAGACGGGGTTTCACCATGTTGACCAGGATGGTCTAGATCTCTTGACCTCGTGATCCACCCGCCTTGGCCTCCCAAAGTGCTGGGATTACAGGCTTGAGCCACCGCGCCCGGCCGATGGCTGAGATTTTTAATTGCCATTTGTATCAATGAATAACCACCCCCCCCCCCACCTCCGGTCATTACTTTCTGGTGTGTTTGGTGCGCCTGGCTCCTATAGGAGAGGAGTAATGCTGTTTGACATGCTTTATTGCTGATTAGAAGCCTAATCTCTGTAATGATTGGAAGCTCAATAATGAAGCTTGTTCAGAATTGTGTTACAGTCGGTTAATGAAGCCCTGAGATCAGGGTCCTGGCTTTTGGTGGCCTCTATTTCAGAATCCAGAGCTGGTTTCTATTTATTTGGGTTTTGCAGCTAAGTACTCTGGACTGAGGCGATCTGAAGGTTGGTTCTGCTGTAATAGGTAAATTGCTAAAAAAGACATTGGCCTTGGTCTGTACAACTTAAAATTTTATTGGTGAGAGAGTCTTAATACGAAACAATCACATCAAACTAGAACTTGGTGTATAACCAGCAAATATAACTCATACTCCTACCCCCTCAGTGTATAACCAAAGAGCTCAATTGCATGCACAGGTAACAGGCATTGGTGATTTCAGAAAAGTTATACCTGGTGAGCAGTGAGAGGCGAGCCCTGATAAGCCCTTCAATCTGGGAAACCCCAGTGCTGACAAGGTACATGGTACAGGCTTGATAACAGCTTGCTTAATGCCACACCTGAAATCCCAGCACTTTGGGAGGCTGAGGCGGGTGGGTCACTTGAGTTCAGGAGTTTGAGTCCTGAACATGGTGAAACCCCATCTCTACAGAAAAACACAAAAATTCGCCTGGTGTGGTGGCATGTGCCTGTAGTCCCAGCTGCTTGGGAGGCTGAGGTGGGAGAATGGCTTGAACACGAGAGGCAGAGTTGCAGTGAGGTGAGATTGCACCACTGCACTCCAGCCTGAGCGACAGAAAATAGTAATAATAAAAAACTTATGACAGTAGCATTTGAGTTGGCTTTTCAATCCTGGGTTCCTAAATATATGAGCCTGGACCATTAAACTGTGTGACAAGGAGCTGTCATCTTAACATACAAACGTTCTGAAATCAAGAGATGAAATGCATTGTTCAACATGAGAAATGACTTCTTGGTTCCGAGACACTATTGACTGTGTGTAAGGTGCCATCATTCATTTGGTACCTAGGGGAGATAGTGGCGGGGACATTCCTTTTGCCTGTCTTGTGATAGGCTTGCTGATTTCTCAAAGGTTAATGTATTAAATTGTCTGAAGCAACGAAGGTATTTAAGGGCATCATTAGGGTTAGTTCTCAGGTCTCCTGATTCCTAGCTTCTCTAGTTTAGTGATTCAATAGTTTAGCCTTTCAATAGTTCACCACTCACTTTAATGGTTTCCTTGCTGCCTTGACATGCTGTTCACTGCTGACACAGTTGGTTTCCTACCTGGCTGAACGCAAGCGTCTGTCTCCTGCTGGGTTCCCTGGTGGTGATGCAGCCCACAGGTACTTGTCTCTTTCTTTCAGTGAAGTACAGCAACCATCTATTTATGTTGAAAGGCACTGTACTGGGAGATGAAGAACACGGAGTTCTAGGCCTCCAGGAATTTATCATCACTTGCTAATTTGAGCTGAGCCTGGCACTTGAACATGGGCCATAGATTTCCAGATGTTAAAAAAAAAAAAAAAAAAAAGAAAAGGATCTTTAATGTATAGCTTTGTCTTTCTGCCTGCTTGCACTTCACTTCTGACCATCTGAAACAATTGATATCTTAGTTTGATATGATCATGTTCCAACACAGCACAACAGCCTGTGCAGTTTTGGGCATGCACCTGTAGCAGTTGCAAAGGTTTTTACGGTGACGTGGCGAAGAGGAGAGTAAGGCCAGTGTGTGGGGTGTTGATGAGGTCAGATGCGGGACTGTATTTCTTGGTATAAGCCATTTTATTTAGGAGCTATTTCTTTGGACTTATTTGTTTATTGAGAAGGAGTTTTGCTCTTCTTGCCCATGCTGGAGTGCAATGGTGCGATCTTGGCTCATTGCCACCTCCGCCTCCCAGGTTCAAGCGATTTTCCTGCCTCAGACTCCCGAGTAGCTGGGATTACAGGCATGTGCCACCATGCCTGGCTAATTTTGTATTTTTAGTAGAGACAGGGTTTCTTCATGTTGATCCAGGCGCATCTTGAACTCACAACTTCAGGTGATCCGTCTCTCCTTGGCCTCCCAAAGGGCCGGGATTACAGGCATGAGCCATCGCTCCCAGCCCTGGAGACTATTTTATGTATGAGAATGTACCTCTGATTGGAAGATAGAAGGTATGAAATTTACCTCTTGAATCATTCCGGTGTAAAATTAAATACCAATCATATACTTAATTTTACAAGACTTGCAAATAATATACTGGGATAATGGCAGTAAGAGACGGGACCTTTTATGTGGTATGAAGTTTTGTGATAATTCCTATCTTCCTTTGTACCTAAAAGAGGCACCCTCTCCTATCATACTGCAAACAGATGCCACTACTACATGTAGACACATTGCCAGCTGTGGCACAGCTCGTCACCCAGGCCTCATCACAGCTGCCTGTAAAACCCAGATTTATTCTCTTCCCCCTAGATCTTTTTAAAAAAATTGCTAGTATCATTTTAGAGAGTATGCCAGTGACACCACTTAAATAATGACTTTTCCAGTTTCTTCTTTTTCCACAGCCTTCACGTCATCTGGTAATATTCCCCTCAGGTTGGCATCAGCTTCTGAGATCCTGCTGGACCTAGATACATTCGCCAGGAGTGGATGAAGGCTTTGGAAGAGTGAAGTGGTTAGGAACATTTCTTCCAAATTCTCCTCACTTTTTTTGACCTCCCCGGTTTCCAGCATATTCTGTACTCCAGCCACACAGAACAACTTGCCTGAGCCCAGCTAAGTCTTGTCCACTGGTCAGGGACCACCTCAAACGCTGTCCCTTTTTTGATTTATTTCCTGGGTCTTTAGCTGGGCTCTTCCCTTCACTCCGTGGAGATGCCTGCCCCATGATTTTCAGTAGCGTTTGCTGTTAGCTGTTCCGTTCTGGGGACAGATTGTCTCTTTGTTTTCCTTTTCTCCATGTGTGTTGTCAATTTCATCCTTTGTCTCACGGGAGTTGGCTTTTACGCTCCCCGCTGTCTTTGGTGGCCTGATTACGAGTCTGTGGGAAAGAATGAAAGTTGGAAAGAAGATCTGGTGGGAAAGAACAAGAGTTGTCCTTGAGCAGCCAAACGAAGCTGTCAGAACGTTAATGTAATAAAGCAGGAATTCCAATGGACTGCCTGCTACAGAGGAGAAGGAAGATGGTGTAGGGCTCACGACTGTAAAATGCAGCAGCCACCACCAGATGGTGATGCGGCTTCTCAGCCCAGGTGGGACTCTGTGTCTCCCCCTCCCATGGTCGGTCACTTGATAACTATTGGGTTGGTCACCCACGCCCTGGTCATTGTTACCGAATAGTGGTAATATAAGTAAGCTGTAAATTTCCATTGTAAGAAATAATTGCCTTTTAAAAGGAAGCATTAAAGAAAAAGATCTTTTGGCTCAATAAAGCCTTTCTTTTCCTCAACACTCTTGGCTCTTAAAAGGGACATGTTCTTGGCCTTGAAATGGGAATGTACATGGAACTTTGGACAGAAGAAACCCCCTCTGCCTTGGGCTGCAAATTCTTGTCCCTGGCAGAGTTTGGGCTGTAGGGTCATGCGATCCGTCTCTTTGACCATTGTATGCAAAAATGATTGTAAAATTGGCCTCCCTAACCTGAGACATTGGTTAAAAAATAAAAAAGACAGTAAAGAGAGAACTCTTTTGCTATTGGGTATGCATTGGATTCATTTTTAAACTGAAAGAAGGTGAAAGGGGTGACTGGTTGATTTAGGACAATACCTTCAGAGCCATGGGCAACTGTGAAAGGCATGGAAATGTGAAAAGGGCCAAAGCACATTGATGGCAGGACCTGTGGTCCCAAAGCAGCCCATGAAGGAGGTTTCAAGGCTATTTCTACAAACAAGAACGCTGAAGGTGTGATAGGTCAAGCAGCTTGCTGCGTGTCATGATGCTAGTGGAGATGGGATTCAAAGCTAGTTTTGGCTGATGAAAATACAGGCTCATGACCGGGCGTGGTGGCTCATGCCTATAATCCCAGCACTTTGGGAGGGCAAGGTGGGTGGATCACAAGGTCAGGAGTTCGAGACCAGCCTGGCCTAGATGGTGAAATCCTGTCTCTACTAAAAATACAAAAATTAGCTGGGCGAGGTGGCACACGCCTGTAATCTCAGCTACTCGGGAGGCTGAGGCAGAAGAATCACTTGAACCCAGGAGGCAGAGGTTGCAGTGAGCTGAGATCAGTCCATTGCACTCCAGCCTGGGCTATAGAGCAAGACTCTGTCTCGAAAAGAAAAGAAAATACAGGCTCATGCCCTGTATGTGAGGATCGTGGGACAGTTATTTAAACAGTTATCTAGAGGAGCTTCCTTATTGCCTTGAATATTTTTCCTTTTAACATTGCTATGGACATCTAGGAAAAAATGCTGTTGATATTCCAAAAGGGGCATTCCATATGCCTGAGAGGGATCCCTGAGGCTCGAGGGTCACCTGGGCCAAGCCAGGTATACACACTTGTCATGGCAAGCTGGCTGTTACCATAACTTCCCTGGTATTGTTTTGCTGCAAGGACAGCGTTGTGGGGCTGTGGTTTGAATTGCTTTTTTGTGCCTCTTGAATACACAAAGTTCCTCCTATAGTCATTGGCTCTGCTGCCTCTGATGAGGCACTTCCTTGTTCCCCACATTTGAATTTGCTCCCGATTCGAGAGAGGCAGGCATCCGCGGCAGCAGCTTCCAACCCAGACAGGCTTCAGTGGCGGGAGGGTGCCCCGGTGGGTGGGTGGCTGGCTGCTCGGGGCCCTACCTGGGCGGGAGCTGCTGCAGAGCCCTCCCCACGGGGCCTCCCCAGCACAGCACCTCCCGCTCCAGGCTGTTGGTTACCTGGCCGGGAGCTGGCAGAGACCAGGATTTCTCCTCGCCACCGCCGTTGCTGTTGTCAGGGGAAACAGACCATCTGCATGTAGACCTGCCTCTCTCTCCCCACTTCAGACGAGCTCTTCCTGCCGGGAATCTGGTAAGTGGCACGGAAGGTTCCGTTCCCCTTATGACTCGATTTGTGCCCACAGCATCAGGACAGTGTTCTCTTACCTCGGATCCATCAGCTTTAACCTATATAGGCAGGATTTGGGGGCTTATTTGAACTTGCTTGCTTTCTTTTTAAAATGTCCATTAGACAGTTTTTGCATGCTTCAAAATCAAAAGGCGGCACAGTGAAGAATTATAATTATTCACGTATTTAACCTGTGTCATCTTCTTGGCAACCTCTTTTCTTCAGGGTGGTGCACCGAAAAATTACACAGATAATGCCCTGGTGCCTCTCCCCCCTCTTATGAATAAATTACTGCATTTGTCATCACTGTGTTCTTGAAATGTCAAAAATAGACACTGTGAAGGAATCTGTCATGCAGAGTTCAGAAATGTTCAGATTTCTGAGTTCAAAACCACAGGTGAAGCAAGGACAGATCTTTTATTTAAGATTTGATTCTTTTTAGGCTTCATTGTGAATTAAGTTCAATTTAGAGCATAGCTAATGCAGTCAGCCAGCTCGTGATGGGACGGGCATACTTCTCTATTGTTTTACTTTTACCTCCTGGGATACACACACCTTCTCATTTGTTTTCTAACCTTTACAGGAAATACCTGGGGATGAGTCACATGATCCCTAACTTAAGTTTTTACATGTATTCACACAGATTAAATGATTTTGCTCTTAAACGGATAAACGTGCAGTTAGGAACTTGAAAAAATTGTAAATGAGGTGCCTGATCATTACTCATTGTCTTTGCCCCCATTCTTCAGCCCTCAAACATACAAACTTTTATTCCCTTTAGGAGAAAATAAAACTGGCATGTATGTTTTCCTTTAAGGTAAAGACTACCCATGTTATATACTATTAAAAAAGATGTAGAAATTAATCTGTTTCTTCGACCTAATCTAACTAGCAGGGATAATTCAGCTCTACTTTTCTGTTCTCTCTGTGTTTTAACATCAGCCACAGATAATACTCTCTGGTAAACATATAACTTGAGGAAAATTGAATTAGGTTAATGCTGGAATAGAAAACCAGGCCAGTGCCTGTTCTTTTTGGATGATTCTGTATAAACAATGAGAAAGTCTCAGGCTGCCTTAAACAAAGGCTGAGATGGGAGCTCCTGGTGGTTTTTATGAGGGGAAGAGGAGATGGTGAGGAGGAGGGCGCTGAGCATGTGCAGCAACTTGAAGCATGTCAGAAAGAACGTTTGCCAGAAACCTTCAAAACTGTGGCAGCCGGTAATGTGTGAAATTGAACTTCTGACCCCGCTTGCTTGATGGCGACGACTTCTTGTGCTTGAGAACTGTGTGGCATTGGGTCCCTGGAATTGGGCAGAACAGCGAAGTGGTTTAGTGAATAGGGAAGTGCCTTCCTTTTTGGGTGGGACTTGCCATGATAGAGCCTGAGCCATCACCTTAAAAGGAGATGTTTCTATTGAGAAATGGAAAATTGGCGAGACAAACGCCATAAACCTGAACCTGTTTATAATTCCTTACCTGTAAGCTGCTTCACATGAAAGGTGATGGTTCTACTTCATAAGGACGAGGAAGAACAGCACATCAACCTGAGGGAATGGACTGTGGCTATGGGTGTGAGCAGCTTTGCAAGGAGGAAACGGAGTCCCCTCCTGAGACGCCCCCATTTGCTTCTGCTCCTTCCTTGCCATTGATGTGCCCTTCTCCTGAAATGACCCAAACCTGTGTTTGGCAACAAGAGGCTATGCCTTGATCCAAATGCATTTTTCAACTTGTGAACTCTTGCCTATTGCCAAGGGGCCTGAGCACCTGGTTAATGATCTTTAATGTAAATGATGCTTTGCTGGGTTAGTATGCACAGGCCTAGCTCCGTGGTCCTCCCATGTGATCCGTTCCCTGCCAGCCACCTGCCCACCTGTAGGAACTGGGCATGGCTAGTTTTCTCTTTATGTGCTCTCTTTGCCTTGGATGGAATTTGGGCTGAGACTGATGGGGTGGAACCAAAGCTTTTCAGCAGAAGAGAGAAACTGCAGAGCAGCCTGTTGGGCTGAGGGCTTGAGGGTGGTGATTGGGTCCCTAAAATCCGAGGACCTTCTGGTGAGCCTTTTCCTGAGCCTGCTTGAGGGAAGGCACTGCCCACACTCTCTCCGGTGGGTGGGAGTGGGGGTGGCAGTAGCTGATCAAAGGCTCTCACCTACAAGTGATAATGGCTTGGGTCTCTTCAGCAACCACCTGCCTTCTTCACCTTTCTGCTCTGACACCCGTTGGCACCCTGCCATAAAGGAAAGAGCTGTCTGGATGGCCTAGTAGCCGTAGGGTAGGTAAAGTTAGCCATGTTTTCTGACCTAGATCTGTGATGGTGGTATTTCTGCATGTTCATGTTGAGACCTTTTCAAAGATGAAAAAAAGCTTTCAGAGCTACAAAAATGACAGGTGGCCCTTTTTAAAAATTTATTTTAAGAGACAACTTTTAAACCACTTTAAAAAAAATTGGATGGCACCATCCTGCAGCCTATCAGATTTCCCTTGAGAGCTGTTGATTATTGGCTTATTTCTTGCTACCTCCAATCCCAAATTAAGCAGAGTGACATATAAGAAGCTGGGAACATCAGCCTAAAGCATTTTTCAGGTATGTCCTTCACAACTGGATCTTTCCTATCCCTGGCACTAATTTTCTTTTAGGGAATGGGGCTATTTTAATTGCTGGTGGCAAAAGGATTCCTGGGCAGTGTGTTCATGGTCCTCAAGGGTGGAATGTGGGGGACCTGAGGGACACACCATGGTTATGGGTTGTCTGTCTTGGCCTCTTTCCCAGACCAGATTCTGCCTCATGCTTGATTGGTTTGACTGCTAGTTATAGAATCTGATGTTTACTTTAGCATCCTAGGATGGAAAGGGTTAAGAATGATTTCTAATTTGAATTCCTTGTTTCTAGGGATTTATTAAACCTATACATTACATTTATTTTAAAAAAGCACTAATTCATAATAGCTCACAGAAACAACTATGATTTGGCTTCTTTGGCTTTTTTTTGTTGTTTGTTTTTTTGAGATGGAGTTTTACTCTGTCACCCAGGCCTGGAGTGCAGTGGCACAGTCTCCATTCATGGCAACTTCTGCCTCCCAGGTTCAAGCAATTCTCCTGCCTCCTATATAGCTGGGATTACAGACGCCTGCCACCACAGCTGACTGATGTTTGTATCTTTAGTAGAAATGGGGTTTTGCCATATTCGTCAGGCTGGTCTCGAACTCCTGACCTCAGGTGATATGCCCACCTCGGTCGTCCAAAGTGCTGGGATTACAGGTATGAGCCACCGCGCCCAGCCTTCTTTGGTTTTCATATTGATTGTATTTTCTGAGACAAATACTCATGTATATAGTCTAATAAAAGATGTTTTAAAATGTTGTTTAATCCACATTGACACTATAGAAATCTTGTTATATTTCTCTATATCATAAATTACTTAAAGCTAAATGTCCCTTGTGAGAGAGAAGGCAAAACTGCTACTGGTCTCCCCACAAGGGACATTTGACACTGTCTGGGGACATTTTCGGTTGTCATATTTGACGGGGTGGGGTGAGACTGGCAAGCATCTAGTGGTAGAAGCCTGGGTGCTGCTTCAGTTTCCTCACTACACAGGGTGGCACCTGCCACACAGCCTAAAGTGTCAGTTGTGGTTGGCCAAATAAGAAATGCCGTGAAACACCAGGCGAGGTGGCTCACACTTGTAATCCTGGCACTTCAGGAGGCTGAGGCATGAGGATTACATGAGCCCAGAAGTTCAAGACCATGTTTAGGTGTAAGTTCTCTGAAGCGGTGATTCTGAGGCTGTGTAGATCAAGTTGGTTTGTTGAAGAGCTGACTCTGCTATTTCATCCAACATCTGCATTTTTCTTTAGCTAAGGATGCCTTGAGAAACATTTTAGTCTTTTAGGCTTGAATTTGTTATTTGCTTAATAGCCTTCCTATGGTTGAATTTAAATGGAAAGAATTGCATCTTGCAACAGGAAAAAGAACATTAGGGAAAAACTGAGGAAATGGAAATAAAGTATGGAATTTTGTTAATGATAAGTCAACGTTGTTGCATTAGTTGTGAGACTGTCCTGAACTAATGTGGATCTTAATAATAGGGGAAACTGGCTTCAGGGTACATGGGGACTCTATGATATCTGCAATAATTTTCTAATTCTGAAACAAAAAAAGTTTATTAAAAAAGCACAAACAAAATTGCCGCCATTTTGTTAACAGATGTAGTGATCAGTCTTACTGTTTTTCTTTGAAATAGTCTGCTGCAAAGTTAGGTTCTTTGTTATCTCGGCTGTCTGTTCAGGGTAGCCACCAAGTGGCTTCTTCAAAAATGTGCCCAGATAATTTTGAACCATTTCAAACCATAGTATGTGATTTTAATTTATTTTCCATTGCACTCACTCATTTCTGGGTTGTATATTGAGAAGACTAGACAGAATTTTCAGGTTTAAAAAGTTACATTAACAGATAATGTATTTGTAGGTGCCAGTTGAAATACTGTCAACTGGAAATGCTACCGGCAATGTGCTAGTTGGACAGTGAGACTTGTCCCATTTTTTTTTGCTGGGTGACAGCTATTACTGCCTCAGGGAGGCTGGATTTAATGCCTCTGATAGCCAGAATAAGTAATTGTGGCTTCTGGGTCCATAAGCCACAAAATACATACACAGACCTATTTTAATTGATGATGTCATGAAATACACTATGTTTGTATTAAGATAACATAGATACATTACGAAACAAGGTTAAAAATTAGTATGGATCTTTAAAATACTACTGGAGACTGTTGGCTTTAGGTTCGTGAACCCCATCCTTGCCCCACACTCCTGTTAGTGGGGCTACAAGAGGAGAAAGTATGAAAAGCACTGGACTTGGAGATTTAAAGAACTTGAGCTGGAATCAATTTGAGTCACTTACCTTCAGTACAGGCGGGCAGAGTGGTCATCTTGCAGTTTTGTTGTGAACACAGAATGAGATCAT